TGTATTTTGGTATTTTTTATGCTTTCTGAATGCCTCCAGGTAGAGGTAATCAGGAAATGGGCTTCCCTTTTTCACTCTTCTCCTGAGAAGTTTCAAGATGCCACTGTTGGTCGTTTTGATGTGACTTAGGATTTAATTATCGGCCTTTTTCCTCTTTTGTCTCCTTGTCCCACTCCACAGTCCCCGTTCAGGCCTTTTTTCTAGTTGTAAACAGTTCAGGGTCAGCTGTGGTCATTTGGTTTTAAGTGGAAACTGTCTCTTTAAATTTCAAGGAGATCTATGTGCATGAGTAGTAGAACCCTCCGAGGGTGGGGCTGGGGTGCCTACTAGCTCAAGCACCCCTATAGTCACCAGAATGGAGTTGTGCAGACAGCAAGGGACCAATGAACAGCTACCAAGAGAAAAAAATGTCAGCACCTTTATCTCTGTGGTTCTGCGAGGAGTCTGGCCGCTCCGATCCTTCCCCCATATGGTTTCACCCAAGATGGCAGCACCTGGATCAGCTGAGCGTCCTGGACTAGAAAGCAATGGATTTCTTTCTTCTGCCACAAATTCCCCCAGCTGTAAGCCTTCCAACCTTCTAAATATTCCTTTATATGTGGTTCAGAGTTCTGGGACCATCCCCTGAGCCTGCTTCGTCGGGTATTCTGTGTTGCTGGCAGAGCTCCTTTAATGCCTGTCCACCCAATCCACCATCTTGTTTGTTCTCTGTCGATGAACTAGTTTTTGTACCACATACAATTTTGCATTGCATAATTTGATGATGTTTTTGGTCTCAAGTGTTCATTCACAGATTTTTTCATGTAATTTTTCAACTACCAAAGATGAAGAATTTATAGATGCTGATAATAAAAGTCAATAATAATAAAATTTTGTTTTTTAAAAAAAGGAAGAGGTATTTAAGTTATGGTTAGAACTGACTTACAGTGAATCATTTGAAAAGAACCCGATCGTAAGTCAAAGTCTAACTGTAATTACAAATACAGCTGTTTATGTTTTGAAAGGCGGAGTACTTTGAAGATGAGTTTGTGCACGCCCCAGTCCTCATAGCTCCTGTCTGGCCTGCTGCTGCGAATGATGATGGGGATCTTTAGGGCTTTGAGCTCCTTCATGGCAATGAGCAGAGGGTCTGTCTCTCCGTCCAGCTCTGGAGGGCTCAGGTGCTCAGCACGCTGGTTCACTCATACTTGGTCATGTACGGCTTGGTGATCTGCTTCTGGTTTGGCCTGTGGTTGCTCCCCTGAGGAAAGGATCTCAACGTTCTCCTGGCTCTCTTCCTCGGCATTTCCCAGGTCTGGTGCCTTTTCCCACCTCCACATTATCAAAGTCGTCATCAAAATTGCCCTGTTGTCTGACATACTGCTTGTGTGGCAGAGACCTGATTTTACTCCCCACAACAGCAAGGAGACCCCCCCAAAGAACGTGCCTTCCCTACATGTGGTGCCAAGCAGACCTTGCACTTGTGCCCCAAATACAGTTTTAGTTCTAATAAATTGATTACCCTAAGTATTTGTTTACATTGCTTTTCTTAGAAAAAAATTAGAAACCAGTATATCTGAATGTTGGACTTTCCAATGCAAGTTGGTTTACTGACTTATTTTGCT